ATATTTTTTAGTACAATAATATCACCATTTGCTCTTCCATAACAACTATTAGGAGCTGTGTTACAAATTGTAAAAGAAGGTAAGCGTATTTTTTTGTATTGTGGTTCACTACACTCGGGTAAAAGAGGTCCATTGTGATGTGGATTCAAAAATTCTAATTCACTAGATGTACGGGAATAAGTTGTGGGCGTTTCATGAAAAAACTTTTCACTTATTCGAGCAGTTATTTGTTCCAAAGGTTTACTTTTCCCTCTCACCATTCTTTTGATTTGTTGCATAAAATTTTCAAATGCAAAAGCAGATACACTATCCACAGTAAAATTCGGAATTTTGGTTACAAAATAATCCACATCGTCCACTAAATGGATGAGCCCATGGAAGTTGTGGGTAATAAAATCCTGACTATATAAAACAATGAAAGGTTGGACAAAATGGATTAATAAAGACCTTGCGTAGTTTGTCTGTTCACTATCGTTACAACGGTATTTATTACATAAAACTGTCATTGCTACATGTAATGTGAGGAAATTTTGGTATTTTGCTTCGCTAAGTACTTGCCTTAAAGCAACAGGTCCAAAATACAACAAAAATGATCTAAATTCTGTTGCCTTCCACCTAAGAACAAATTTTAACTCTCTAGGCCTTCGTACAAAATCAAATGGTGTAGATTTCCTTAGACCTATTAAATTCTCAGAAATAGTTAAAATATTTTGATTAGACAATCGGTGTGGCAAATCACCACTACACCATGTGGTTATTATTGTCCGCATTACCCCTAAACATACTAAGTGCATATAATCTAACACAAACGAGTTTACAATGACTATATTTGTACAAGATGGCTGCGTCCATTTTCTAATGGCATGAATTAATTAATTAATCGTCGTTGTATCATGACTATGTTAATTTTGTTCCACTTTTCTATGTCCTAACACCAACTGTTTTATATTGGATAAATTTTTTCCTGTAAGTATTAATTATGTTCAACTAGTGGTTAACACATGTTCTTTCCAGCATACTGATAAAAAAATGTAACTTCTGTACTTTCAATTTCCTATTTTCTGTTGTTGATGTTTTAAATTTTAAGGTATGTATAGTTCAAGATTGTTACTCGTTATTAGTTACAATTTTCCTACAGCTTGAAAATGACTTAGGTCGAAACTATAGTCGCTATGTGATTTTATTCACAATTTTTTAATAAAGAAGTATGGGGAAGGTTTAGTGTGTTAAATTCCTATTCAACTGTAACTGTAACCCCGTTTTGAGCTTTACCACCATGGATTCCCACCAAGAGTTTACAAAGTTTAAATGCGGTATTTGAGTTAAGGGGGTCTCAGTAATCCTATATGAGTCATCAATCCAGTTAAGAAAATCATCGTTTGTCCTAGCAGCACAATCTAATTGTAAAAATACCCTCTTACGGTTGCTCGTTATCCCTCGGACAGTGCAACGTGTACATGAAGAATAGCCACCATGTCCTTTAATACCTAATATGTCGCTTTTAGCCGGTGCGTCACACACAAACCCTATAATCCTGACACTAAATTTTCTATTGTTAAATGAAAGGCCATTTTGTACTAAATCCGAAGATTCAGTGACAAATTCTTCTAAAAATAAGGACATACTTTTAGGTTTTTGCAAACCATAATAAAATCCTATGGGAAAAACTTGCCCCTTTAATGGCATTATTGTAGGCAGAGAAAATAAAATAGGAATTACTTGTCCAGGTGAACTTTTAAACAGTGGCAATCCGTCAATATTTATTAGCCGATCTAGTGACGTTATTGGTACTGTTTGTGGCAAAGTGTTCAGAGTTCTAGTTAATTGCGTTTTTAGACCAATATGGACATAATGACCGGGCTCAATATACTTCGATGGAAAAGTAACTTTGGTTTTCAATAATGTTCTTCCATCGGAAGGTAGACTACTAAAACAAGAATGTTTCTTAAGTCCAGCAAGTAGAGAAGTAAGAGCAGAGGTAGTGCAATTAGCAGTAATTGCCCAATCCCTTAAAAAGTCTGCCGTTAATTCACATTCAGATTTGCATTCTCTACTGGCATTAATTAATTCTTCGTTTTCCGTGACATCACTTCCCAATTGTTCATCTCGTACCAAATTCAACTCAGGGTTACCCTCCAATGAAGTGTTCAATAAGCCAGAGGAACAGCTTGTTGAAATTGAAGTTTGAATAGGATTAGCAGCATATTCTTCGGCAGAGGCGCACTCTGATAGAGAAGAATTTGCAAGAGGGTCAAATGGCACATTAACATCCGACTTCTCAGTAATTGTAGCTGTATAATTTGAGCCGATGTTTTCATTGTACATTTCACTCATCTCATCAACACCCCCATAATCGTAATCGTCATCATGTATTCTTCTGCGCTTGCTTCGCTGAGACAGGGATTTAAAAGGTAAACGTTTTCTTTTTGACATTCTTGTTAATACTAGAAAAATAAAGACAAAATGAGGGTCAGGGTATCTCCACAAACTTTACACTTGTTCACTTCCTATTCTGGTTCACTAATTTTAATGACGATTTGTTAAAAATGCTTTACAAAATTACAAGTATAGGTAGTATAAGGTATTACCTTAATAAGGTACATGGATTATAAATTAAGGCTTAATACTCACCTGTTTGTAAAAAAGATTTAAAACCGCCACAAATTATTAAACATAACCACAAATCGCGATTGTGAACATAACCCTACAATTCGCGCGACGCATGTTTATGACCCATTAATTTTCCCGCGATTTTAGGCACTCGATCGATTTCGCTTTTTTAAATGTTCAAGATGGTTCCTCCAATTTAACACGAAAGTATATATTGTACAAGATCACATGTTCTTAAAAGTGTCAAGACTTTATTTTAAAAATGTTTCCAACACATTTTCTTGCAAAAGATTAGACGAAATTATTTCAAAAATGTATAAAAAACAAAAAACAAAAACGTTACAAAAAAATATATTTGAAAATGTGTTTAAAATATTTTTCCTTAAAACATTTTTTCTAAAAATGCATTTTCAACGTTGTAATGTTTTAAAAATCTTTTAAAAATATTTCCTTGCTGGTTGGGTAGTATCTGGAAATGAAAATATATGTGTTGTCATTTACATATAAAACCGTAAAGGAAAAGAAATTCGCATTATTGCTCATCTTGAAAAATGCTATTCTCACCTCGTTAGCACCTAGTTGTGGCATTTGCGTACGTCATCTTGTAGGGGTTTTAAAAAATACACCACATGAGTAAACACATTGCAAATGAATGCAACAATTTCCCTAATGTTTGTACAGCAGACCATGATTATATAAACGTATTGCAATAGTTATTTATATAACAAGAGCGCGAAGTTCAATTTCGCGCATTGAGACTGAAGGTATTTTGACGAGGCGAAGCCGAGTTAAAATATCAGTCAAATGCGCGAAATCGTTATATACAATATTTTTTCTACAACTGAACCGATTGTTAATTAAATTTGCTGTTTAAGTTCAACTTTGTCACGTGCGCGAAATACTTTTTTTCACTGTTGACGATTTCGCGCACGTTGTCAAGGGCAACCTTACTTATTAATTAACCGTTTAAAAATCTAGTACTACGCGCTTCGAAATTCGTCAGAAAATGACAGGTTTTTTTGACAGTTGTAGAAAAAATATATTTACATGTGTAAATAAACAGTATCATACATACCGTCCTCCATTTTCACAGAACACCTGTCGACATTTAAAGATCACTTCTCTCCACTTACAGATAACTTAAATTATGTTGTTGTTTTCACATTACAGAGACATATCGTCACTCCGGAAGAAAAGTGACACATCTCAAAAAATGCAAATTTAAGATTAATAGATAGAACAGTATCAAACGAAATAAAATTTTCAGAGAAAAAGTGGCATAACTTAAACTCCTCAATTCATACGAGAGAGGGCACATTACCGCACATCAAAGTGCTGGTACTTTATAGTAGAATAACGTCATAACTTCAGTTGAGAATTGGCTGTTGGTGAGAACGTATGCGATTTATGGTGAAAAACGACCTAACTCGAAAAAGTACGGTATTTTTTTCAAATCTTTTACTAGAAAAGTGTCATTTTGGATGTTGTGACTGTTTTCTTTTGAAGGTAAGCAATGCTATTTAGTTTTATGTCAAATTGTGCATTGTCTTCGTGTCGCAAAATTTAATTTTCCGCCCTTCTAACGGAAATAAATTCTTTTTCACCATTAATCTTGTTTCAGTTACAATGTCAACTAGAAGTGCATTTATTTTGAAACTTGCCACGCAAGATGCAAATGTTAAACACAAAATCGACGATGGTGTTTCCCTGTAATGAAAAAATAATAGATGAGGTATTGCCTAATACTGATGAATCTGAGCAACTTCCAGTATTTAAACAAGGAAACGAACCGAACGGTTCCAATAATGTTTCTGTCAGTTTGGAAAATTCAGGTAAATTCCATCTGAGGCTTTCCAGGACTTAGGTCTATTATTTTTTTCTGATAGATATCCAACATGGTAGCAGTTTAAATCATATTGAAGAGATAGTAACTGATACAGATAAAGAGTGTAACCTAATTAGTTCTAGTTCATCCTTGTCTTCATCGTACACGGAAGACTCGGACGATAGTGTAGCCGACCCTGACTATAGTTCTTCTAGTACTTCAAGTGATACTACTAGTGGTAGTGATGATGACCATCACAGTCATGCTGATGTTCCCAAATCTAAACGAAAAGTAAAAAACCCTTGTACCACAGAAAAACGGGAAAAAGCGCATGAGAAATGTACATGAGTTGAGCAAAAATCTTGCAAAGCGTGCTAGAAATGGTGGTCAATCTTAAAGCCGTCTTACACTGAGCAATTTCTTGCACAAGATATATTGCACAATTTAAATTGCATAGTATCATACAGGAAATTGCATGCAAAATTACATTGCAACAAATTATTGCATCAAAAATAGAACCGGTCCTATTTTTTATGCCAGTTTCAATGCAATTTTAAAATGCGCGTGCGCCGCTCGTTGAACATGTGTTTTCAGATCAGCTGTTTAGTGTTTTTCGAGGTGTTTTGTTTGACAAAATCTGTCTTGTCTTGTTAATTCCTTCATTTAGTTATTTGTGTTGCCAGTTTTGCGTTAAAATGTCGTGGACACATGAACAGATTTCTTGTCTTAATCCGTGTTTGTATGTGGTAAAGGACAAAAACTACCACAACAAGCATGTCCGAAATGCTGCTCTGCTAACCATACTTAATAACATTAAACCGATAAGACCAGTTACCTCAGAAGCTGATGTCCAAAAAAAATTTCATGGATTAAGGACAACGTACGCAAATGAGAGAAGGAAACATTTAGCGAGTATACACAGTGGAATGGCCGAAAATGAGGTAGTTTGTATCACTTTATAGTGTATAATAATAGTAACGTAACCATTTAACTAGGTTTACCATCCGTCGCTGTGGTATTATGAAAAAATGGATTTCCTGGACGACCACCTTGTAGTCAGGAAATCTAATTCAAACTTTTTATTGCCCGAGGAGGGCAATGAAACATCACAAACACAGGAGGAAGATTTACTGGATTCATCAATTAATGAAACTGTAAGTAGCTACATTCTTTCACATCAAAAGTTGAACATTATATGTTTAGATTGTGGAACAGTATGAAGTAGATGACCAAGGAGTATTGGTACCTTTATCACCAGAAATTTCCTCAGATTTAATACCAGATCATCAGAGGTCAGGATGCAGTGGGTTAAAAAGAAAAGGCATTTCAGTTGACACCAGACCTAGCACCAGACCATCATCAGCGGGAAGTGGCTCATCTTGTCATCAGAATGATTTGGAACTTGGACTTGGTGGATTAAAAAAAAGAAGTCTTTCAGTTGATAACAGGTCTTCATCTGCAACAGGTGCAAAAGGAAAAAGTAAAAAGGCAGAAGACCCAGACCTAAAAGTGTTAGAAGCTGTGTCTTCAAGCCTTGAGGGAATTACTGATGCGCTTAAGCCAGGTCTCAAAAGCAGTGAAGATATATTTGGGGAGTTTGTAGCTTCACAACTAAAAAAAATAAGAAATGAAAACAAAAGATTGACAGTGCAATATAATATTCATACTGTTTTGCACGAGGCATTATTGAGTTAATATTTTACAAGATATTTTATGTTATGTACCTATATTACAATTATCCTTATTACACCGATACAGTTTTATTTTGACGTTATTACATAATCATCACTGTAGAGCACATGTGAACAATAGAACCTAAACTAATCCAATTGACTTATTTTGCCACTCAACGCTTCCGACAGTATTAAAATAATCACAAAATTTGTTTCTTGTAAGCAGAGCCTCATTACTTGCTCTAAAACCACCTTGCTGAGATATGGTTTCTAAACTACATGTTTCATTAATTTCATTTTCTGGTCGAATATACTTCTTGTTTCTTACAGCCAAGAAATTATGTAATATGCAGCACGTTAGCGTAAGTATTTCTGCTTTTTCAGGGCTTAAATTTATTGTGTTTTGCAAAATTCTAAATCTGTTTGTTAAGATGCCGAAGGCATTCTCTACTGTTCGTCTTGCCCTGGACAGTCTATAATTAAAAATTCGTTTTTCCACAGACAATCCCCTTAAAGGATATGGTTTGATTATTCTTTTTGATAGCGGAAAAGCATCATCTGCCACAATAACATATGGCACACTTAAGGCAGTGTCTGGTAAATGACGGTCTTCTGGAAAGTTTAATAGGTTTCTATCAATGCCTTTTTTTAGACTACTTTCTCTGTATACTCCACCATCACTTATTCTTCCATTGACTCCAACATCTACATATAAAAACTTATATTCCGAATCTACCAATGCTAGTAACACTATGCTGTGGGATCCTTTATAATTAAAGTAGTAGGATCCACTGCTTTTAGGAGCTTGAAAATTGACATGCTTTCCGTCTAAGGCGCCAAGACAAAAGGGAAAATTCCAAAGTTTTTCAAACCCTTTGGCCACGTTTTCCCATTCCAGAGTAGTTCGAGGCAACTAAAATATAAAGATAATAAACAGCCAACGTATGAATCAATTTTACACCTGTATATATGTTTTCATTAGGTTTTGTATGATAGCTTTACACACTTCCATTACAATAATACTTATGGTACTTTCATGTATTCTTGTTGCATACATTAAGTCTCTAAACGTATTTCCACTGGCCAAATACCTTAGTGTTACTGCTAATCTGGAAATAAGTTAGCAGTTTAGTACTAATGAAAGGTAAATTAGGTAATATGTAGACTGTAGAGAAATATTTCAGTGTACCAACCTTTTGTCACTTGGGATACTTTGTCGTAACTGAGTATCCTGTTTTTTAATGATATCATCTATAAGGGTTAAAAGCTCCATAAATGTATCGTTATCCATCCGTAAGAAATTCCTATATGCCTCTGGATCTTCATGAAGTAACTCGTTTTGCAAAAGCGATAAAACTCCTTTACCCACATCTCTTTTTTTTAACCATTCTTCCTGCCACAATTTTCTCTTTTTGTTCTTTCTGGCAGCGCGTCTTTTTAGAATTTTACGAATTACACATATACCGATCAATCCACTGACAACAGATATTCGTCTTTCCACATTCATTGTATACAATAACAAACAAAATAAATTATTGAAAACTTGTGGTAATTATAGGTTGGGGTTGTATGATTGTCAGCTGGTATAAATTATAGTATAAATGCGCAGAATCCTCGGCTATATCTTGCACAAGAAATTGCATAGTATAAAGCAGTCAGCTCACAAATATTTGCTACATTTTATAGCACAAGAAATTGTGCAATTTCTTGCGCAACAAATTGCATAGTGTAAGACGGCTTTTATACTTCATCGTCTATGTCTAAAAAATTATTTCCTGAAAAGAAATTGCTTCCTCCTTGCGGTGACAAATGTAGATTAAAGTGTAAAACAAAAATAACTGAAGAAGATCGGGTAAAGATCTTTAAAGATTATTGGAATTTGGGATGTTTGCAAAGGCAACGCGATTTTTTGCTTGCAAATATGGCGAGATTAAACCAAAGTACAGGTATGTTAAGGAAAATAGAACTTTCGATCGTAGTCGTAACAACGCATTCTATTTTCACGTTAATCAAGAAAAGGTTCAAGTGCGTAAAACCTTCTTCAAAGCAACGTTATCCATTAATGATAGGCCTATAAGAACAGTTTTAAAGAAAAGGGTTTATTTTACAGGAAATATGATTGCCGCCGATTTCCATGGTAAACATGGTAGGCACACGAAAACAGATGAAGCGATTAAACAGAGTGTTAGGAACCACATAAATTCTATACCTCGCATACCTAGCAACTACTGCCGCGCAGGAACAACTAGAGAATTTATTGAGGGTGGTCGATCTTTAGCTCAGATACATAGGGATTACCAAAATTATTGCACAGATAACAATCAGCCATCTGCTAATTACATGATGTATTTTAAAATTTTTCATGAAGAGTTTAACATTTCCTTTTTTATACCCAAAAAGGATCAATGTGAAACTTGCGTTGGGTATTCTAATTCTGATGATGCCAGTAAAGCTTTCATGGACAACATGCATCAGATTCACTTAAGAGAAGCAAAATTAGCTCGTGCTGAAAAAGAAAAGGATAAAAAGTCTCATAATGGACATGTTGCTGTGTTTGATTTACAGGCCGTCCTACCATGCCCATCAGGACAAGTATCTTCATTTTATTACGCCTCAAAGCTGAATGTTTTTAATCTCACTGTATACGATTTAAAATCAACTGACGTGCAATGCTTTGTATGGCATGAAGCAGAGGCACAAAGGGGAGCAAACGAAATTGGGTCATGTATTTTTTATTATCTGGACACAATCGCGAAGGGAGATGTAAATGAGATTGACGTTGTCTTTTTCTCTGACAACTGCTGTGAACAACAGAAAAACAAATTTATGATTGCGATGTATATGCACGCTGTATCAAAATATAAATGTCTTAATAGTATCACACATAAATTTCTGATTACTGGTCATAGCCAAAATGAAGGCGACAATGCTCATTCGGTTATCGAACGACAAATTAGTAGAGCGAAAAAGTCTGGGCCAATTTTTATTCCAGAACAATACATTTCTTTAATCAGAAGTGCCAAGAAAACGGGAACCCCCTATAAAGTCACTGAACTTTCGCATGCGGACATCTTTGACCTCAAACAACTAGTTGCTGATCTTGGATGGATGAATACTCCAAAGGATAAAGATGGGAATAACTTTAAGTTAACGGAAGTAAAGGTTTTAAGAGTAGAAAAAGAAAGTTTTGGAAAAGTGTTTTACAAAACTAGTTTCGAACAAGAAAACTTTGAAGAAGTTGAAGTAGTCAGAAGTAGAAGGAGTACAATAGAGAATGACAAAATCACCTTGAAGAAAGCTTATGACAAAAGATTGGAACTTTCTCAATCAAAAAAGGAGTCCCTGTTATCCCTATTTAAGAAGAAGGCCATTCCTATGACTTACTTGCCTTATTACAATAGTTTGTAAACGTTTGAACTTAAATTACACCTTTCATAAATATATATTTTGTCAAGCACATCCGGTTTTTTTGTAAATTTTTCTTTAAAAAAAAGTTATTTATCTCTAGAAAACTGACACTTTATGTAACAAAGCCCAAAATCCGATTTTTTTCAAAAACAAAATATATTTGTTTGATAGGGCGTATTAATATGAATTTAATATAATGAAACCGTTTCTGCAGGTCTCTGTAATTTATACAGAACATTTGGAAAAAATGTTCAAATTACAATTGCGTTTTCTGTAAAAATGTTTTTTTTTAAGTTATGCCACTATTCTTCCGGAGTGACGATAAACACAAATAATGACATCTGTTGAGAAGTAACACCAATACAACTACATATCAACAAAATTAGAGACCTTGAAAGCAAGGTACGCACTTGTCCTGCCGAATTGCACTCGAGGTTTGTATTTAAACAGAGTAAATTTGGGTTGTTGCAATTCAAATCTGTTTTCTTGCTAGGCAGCAGATTTTCGTGACCTAAACAACCCCAATTTACTCGGTAATATAGGTACAAACCTCTTGTGCAATTATACCTAAGTGAAAATTGAATAACTCTAATATAACGAGAATTATAGAACTCTCATAGAATATCGAAAATAGAGATCTCCAATCTAACGACGAAAGATAAGAACTCTCGTATGCGTATGTCCATAAATCAGCAGAAAACTGTAAAGAGAATGATCGATGAGTTGTTAGGCAATGGCGTTATTCGCGAGTCTATTTCCCCTTATTCCTCGACCATTTTGCTGGTCAAGAAAATAAATGGCGAAGAGCGAATGTGCGTCGACTATAGGAAACTAAACTCTAAGACCCTGAAAGAGCAATACCCTTTACCTAGGATTGCCTAGATTTAAGATCTTGATACTACCACATCCCGTGAAGGAAAACTCCAAAAAGTTTACCGCTTGTAACCCCTTTACAAAGGATTTTGCGTCCTTATATTTAGATGATGTATTAATCCATGGGCACATCATCGAAGAAGCCATGTATCATTTAGAAACGATACTAAAGCTTCTCCGTGAGGAAGGTCTTAAGTTAAATTTGGAAAAGTGCTATTTCCTGCAGACATCTGTTTCATATTTGGGATTTGAAATCTCAAATGGATAAGTAAAACCTGGCTTAGGCAAAGTTAAAGCCATAGAGCAATTCCCACCTCCTAAATCAGTACATAACATTCGTCAGTTTCTTGGTTTCACTGGTTATTTTAGGCATTTTGTACAAAATTATGCCATTATCGCAAAACCACTTACAAGACTAATTAAGACAAATGCACCGTGGCAATGGGGTGAGAAAGAGAAGCTTTCCAAAACTTACAAAAGATCTTAGTGACTAAACCTGTTTTAAATTTGTTCAACCCCCAAGCGACAACAGAACTACATACCGGCGCAAGTCAATTAGGATTGGCAGGAATATTGCTCCAGAAAAATCAGAACAGTAGATTGCACCCTGTAGCTTATTCTAGTAGACAAACATCAGATACAGAGCAGAAATACCATTCGTACGAACTAGAAACTTTGGCATTTTTAGAAAGCTTAAGACAATTCAGAAGATACCTTTTGGGAATCAATTTCACTGTTGTCACAGACTGTAATTCACTTAAAGCAACCAGCAATAAGAAGGAATTAATCCCTAGAATCGCCAGCTGGAGGTTGGAACTTCAAGAGTACACTTTTGAAGTTCAATACAGACCCGGTAACCGTATGAATCACGTAGATGCCCTTAGTCGGAATCCTTGTCCCACCGATCAAGGACAAGAACGCGAAGTCATTCTTAGAATAGATACCGCTGATTGGGTTCTGTCTGGTCAGCTAACAGATGACAAAATTAAAGAAATACGTAGTGGTTTATCAAAACCACCTGTGACAGAGAACGGAAAAGATATCTATAAAAACTACTGCTTGAGAAACAGCAGGGTGTATCGAACAACACCCAGAGCCTATGTTGATTATGATCAGGAGATCATCAGGGACAGACTTCTGGCACTAGTAGAAGTCGAAAATGCTGATTCCGAAGGCATTGTAAGTGCCATTTAGAAAGTGCTGGAAACCTGCATAATTTAATAGGTTTTGCCGCAGATAACGCATCAGTGA